GTTGAATAAACCCTTGTTGTCATGTGCGTTTCACATGTGGTTCTGTGGGTTTCACTAAAGTATCAGGTAGAAAATCTGAGTTGTTATTGTTTAGTTGTGGCTAACCGATACACTCCTCTCCTCAGTGCTGAAAGCAAAGAAAATAATGAAACTGCAACTTCAGACTAAAAACAGCAGAAAAATCTTTCAGTGATTAAACTGCACACAAAAGCTTCACTACAAGATGTTTGTATTTGAGACTGAAGACGGTTGTTTTTTGTTTTTTAAGCCAAAAATGTAGAAAATTATGAAACTTACATTTTACAATTATGGTTCATGATATTATGTAAGTATAGAAGTGAATAAACCTGGTGCTGTCAGTAATAAATATTGTTTGACTGACTGATTTTTAATGTATTGTTCCTTTCACTGGGAAACATTCAGTGTCAAAATATATAGTTTAAGATAAAAACGGAGATTATTTATTGTATTTAGTGTCTGATAAACTAAAGACTCATGAACATGTGACTTAGACTGCACTTCTTTCCTGATCACGTCTCCTGGACCAGCTCAGATATCCTCCTCTGACTGAAGCTTGAAATGAACGATTGGACTTTAATGTCTTCTGCCATCTACTGGTGAAGTTGGGTGTTACAGCACAGCAGATGCTTTTATACGACAACAGTTTAATTCTGCAAAGCTGCTCAGACTTCTTTACCTTCCTCTTGTGTTAGGGTCAGCACCGACACATTTTAAATTTTAAATGCATAAAAAAAATCACATTTGTTTATTGTATCAAGGCTTTTTGACTTTGTCAGGAACTTATATTTCTACAAAATAAAACAAAAACAAAATCTTTTCACTAAATTATAAAATGCTCTAGTTGAAATTATGACATTTGTGTTGTTAGGGTCAGTTTGGATCCAGTTATAATATTATGTGTACAAAGCAATAATTAGAGCCAAAACTGAAATCATAAGTGCACTGTCAGCTGACACGCTGACAGCCAGCTCCTCTCCTAATCATATGAGCTTTCTTATTTTGCGTGGTTAGGGTTAGTATACCTGCATGAAAACAAAACTAACAAAGGCGGGCATGTCAAGGCATGTGATGTGAATTCACTCATTTGAGTAACCATTTGACTTCCAGAGTGCACATTTACATTTTGCAGCATACAAAAATGAGAAGAAGATTTACAGTGAGCCAAGTTCTAGATCCTATTTTTGCTGAAAATGAAGGAGAGGACACAGAGCAGCATAGCGATTCCGATGGGCAGGTTTCTAAGGAGGAAGACACAGACCCATCTGATCAGAGGAGGAGGTCGCTGGTGCTGAAGCTGCTCCTGCTGAAAGATTCAAGTCCAAAACTGGTAAGATCTCATGATGTACATGGCAGGGCAGCTGCTGCAAATGTCATCAAAATGACCCCTGGAATACAAGGTTTGTTCTGACCAAAGTCAGTGACATCAAGAGATGTTTCGAGCTATTTATGCCATTGTCACTAAAAAGGATCATCATTACTATGATGAACCTTGAAGGAAAAAAAAGTCCATGTAGAAAGATAGTTATGAGGAATACCTGGATGCTTTCATTGGTGTTCTTCTTCTTGCTGAGTGTACAGATGCTGCAATGAGGCCACTGATAGTCTATGGGACCCATCGTTAAGCAGGAATATTTTCCAGATGGTTGTTAAAGATGGCTCCCTCATCAGGAAGCAGCCTACAGGTCACATGACCATCCAGCATGTTTCCAGGTCTGATGAAGGCCTCTACAAGTGTGACATCAGCGCTCATGGAGAGTCTCCATCCAGCTGGATCACTGTCACAGGTGACACACTCACCTGTCTGTGTTTCTGCAGCTTTCAACATTCACAATGTGACGACAACTTCATGACTGTGTTTGCTTTATTTTAGAGAAACACACCACCACACCTCCACCTACATCCACACCTCCACCTACATCCACCTCACTCTGTGTATCTCAATATCAGCCTGATTCCTCTCCTTCACTCTCTGTGTTGTCATCTGTTGGAACAGTCATTTTTCTGATTCTACTGGTATTACTGGTTCTGCTTGTGAGACAATGTTTTTGTAGAAAAACTGAAGGTGAGACTGAGAATTTTCATTCAGGTGTTGTTTTGGTGAATAATGGTATAAGTTTTCACATTAATGTGATTTAATTTATTATCATTTTTCTTTTTTCATGTGTATATTCTGTTTGTGCATGTTATCGATTCAAAGTTTGTGTTCTTTTTCAATTAATGGCATCATATTGTTTTATATTAATAGTCCAGTTACACTTTTTCAATTATTTATTGTTATTGAGTTTTTTGCTTTTAAACTTGGATCTTTTAAGCTGAACAGGACAAGCCTTTCGATGACATCACATACAGTAACGTCAGAATATCCGATTGTCAAGAAGAGATAGTCCAAGAAAGCAGACGTAAGACTTTTTTGTCTTCTACTTATGTTTGTTTTTTGTTGGGTTTTTTTTTTTTTGTAAAACTAGATCACTCAGTGCAGTTTGGAAATTTTTTTATAATGTGAAGATCAATATAGAAGCAACACTTAGCATTGTAGGGTAGTGGAAGTTTGAATTTCTATGGGAGAAATTAGCAGGGAGCAGTCCAAAGGGAAAACAAGATATTGCATTACAAAGCCACACAACTATATTTCCATGATAAATAACAAAAATCCTCCTACGAAGTGCTTGGGAAAAATAAGAACTGAGATCATTTTTTGTACCATGCATGTTAAAATCTGGATATTTTAGCATGGGCTTCTCTCTAGACCGATTTATTTATAGAGATTCAAGTGGATATTAGTGGACCTGCAGTTTTTGGGATTTGAGGTTTCAGTCTCAGGATGGCTTGTTCTGTGTTCTTGTCGGAGGACCCCGATGCATTGATTAAAAAAAAAAGAAAGTACTCTGGATTGAGCCTTTTAGTGACATTATAATATTTTGTAAGTTTGCAATATTTAGTAGAAGTTAAATCTGCAGGGAGCTTTTTAAACCTTATTTTCTTGGAGAGTTAAAATTTTATTTAATTAATTAATTGATTAATTAATCTATGTTGTAAGATGCTGAGTTATACAGATGGTTGCTGAGTGGTAATATTTGTTTGTCGTGTACATTTTTAAAATTGGGTAACATCCTACATAGCAATGTAAGAGTAAGGGTATATATGAAATTGAAAGCCTATGACAACATGCTTTATGAGTGTAGTTTGGATCATGTGGACTTTGTTTTGACCTTCACCTCTTCAGGAGTGTAAGATTTGGTTTAGTCTGGTAATATCTTTATTTGAGGATATTATGGAGCATGTGAAGGATGATTAGTACATTTAACTACTGATTTTATCTACTGTTCTGATTTTATCTGTTTTGATTTTATATACTGTTGTTTGTTTGTTTGTTAATTAGTTAGTTAGTTTATTTGCTTGTTTTATTCAATTTTAAATCATGCTTTTTATTTGTTCTTGTTTCTAATGTCTCTGTAAAGCACTTTGAATCACCTTGTTGTTGAATTGTGCTATACAAATAAACTTGCCTTGCCTTGCCTTGCCTTGCCTAGTAAACACTTATTTGTAATTAGATAGTTGTAACACTAAAACAAAAACCCTGAAATCACAGTTGTGTTTTTTTCAAGAATGTATTATTATAGTTAAACTTTCCCATAATGAAAAAAAAATATTATGTTCATTTTGTTCAAACAGCTTAACCAACTCACTCAGATGTAATCATCTTTCTATACACTCTCCCACTGTGCTTCATGAATGTTGTTCTTTGAATGTTGGACTATGTTGTGTGTGATCTGTGGTTTACAAAAGCTAACAGCTACGAGTCATCCAGCTTCCTGTTTCTCATTTAGAAAAGAGAGAGAAAAAAACACAAACTATGCAACCTGCAACAATTTTACCACAGATGTTATAAAAAGAGGAAGGACCATAAAGTTTTTTGACATATTTCCTATATACAGTGGCTTGCAAAAGTATTCCCCCTTGAACTTTTCCACATTTTGTCACATTACAGCCACAAACATGAATCAATTTTATTGGAATTCCACGTGAAAGACCAACACAAAGTGATGCACATGTGAGGCTGAATAATTACGCACACCCCACTTTTCAGTTATTTATTTGTAAAAAATGCTTGGAATCATGTATGATTTTCATTCCACTTCTAACGTGTACACCACTTTGTGTTGGTCTTTCACGTGGAATTCCAATAAAATTGATTCATGTTTGTGGCTGTAATGTGACAAAATGTGGAAAAGTTCAAGGGGGAATACTTTTGCAAGCCACTGTAGAACACCAGTATGAGGTAAATGAATGAAATGAATGTAGATCAAAATCTGATGGTACTTTTCTGTGTTCATATTTCCATCAGTGTGAACAAGATCTCAAACAAGGTTAAAATGCAGCCTGGACAATGAAAGAGTCCCCACCATGAGCTACAGATGGCTGTAGACAATCTTTTGTACTTCTCTCCTGACGTCCTACATACATACTGATGATGATTTGCTTGTGTAGCGTGACATACCTCAGCCTTTAGCTCTTGCTCCGCTTCCTTAAGAATTGTTTCTTGGCAACCATCAACTGAAGAACCACACAACACTAGTTCATCATTTGAGTTATGCAGTTAGGTGTCTTTTCATACTTGAATTAAAAAATATATATTCTGGAAATGGTCAGCTACGTTGAGTGGATTGAAAAGGATGTGTAAAAATAGCAGCCATTGTCCAAAGAAAAACTTTGAAAGACCTTAAAAAAGTCTGGAGAAACATTGTTCAATAGCACTTGAAAACATTACATGAAAGTCTGACTCATCTGCAGTAAAATATGAAAAAATGACGCGTGATTCAAGACTTTTGCAGTGTTGTAACTGTTTTGTTGTTGCTGTTGTTTGTATTTTTGTGTGTGTGCATAAAGAGTTCTGCTAGAGCAGCAGTTTCAATCAGCTCTGCTATCACTTGTACTGCCTGCACTGACGTCCTCTGTGTGTTTCATTGTGCAGAGAGTGATCCAGCTGCAGTCTCTCCTGCAGTGAGAACAGAATACGTCACTTATGGGCAAATCATCATCAAAGACAAGAAAAAAAAGTCAGGTACAGCTGATCTTCATTTTTTCCATCATAGCCAGTTCAATCTCTAAATTGTAAACTCAGAATGCTACAAGCTTTGTGTAATGTTCATAATATCCACCATCCTAGTCTGCTCACATATTGATTAACACCAGCTTATGAATACATTTGGAAAGTTTTGCTTGTCTTCGTATTGGCTGCTGTAGAAAGTCAGAATCTGTCCAACCATTCTTACACCAGGATCCTGGAAGTTATATTTCACTAGCCAAATTTCCTGTCAGCACAAGGAACTGAAATTACGTGCACACATGCACACACAGTTAGTTTTGCCATGTATATACACTACAGGTCAAACAAACAATCCAGTTTTTCCAGATTTATTGAAAATTCTCCACGTTAATGTGTCATTGCACTCTAAAATGAAATGAAAGCATTGTACAAAAAGACAACTGGAATTAAACAAGAAATTATAGAATTTATATTCTAAACTTCTGACTCATCAAAGTAGCCGCCTTTCGCAGATATAACAGCTGGGCACACGCATGTCATTCTCTCTACAATAGAAATCAAATATTCTTGAGAAAGTTCTTCCCTTATGTGTTGCAGAAGTTCCCATTAATGTGGCACTTTTAGGTTGTGTTGCTTTCACTCTTCTGTCCAGTTCATCCCAAACCAGCTTGAATGGGTTTCAGTCTGGAGACTGTGCTGGCCACTCCATGTTTTCAAGCCTACCATCTTCTTCTTTTTTCCTGAGGTAGTGCTGGCATAGCTTGCACTAATGTGTTGGGTCATTATCTTGCTGTAGGATGAACCACTGACCAACTAGACACATACCAGAGTGTATGATGGTCTGTCTCACTTCTGTTGTTATTTGCTTTTTCTTGCCATTTTCGTAGCAACACACTACTTTCTGCAGCACAATACTGTTCAGCTGATGCATGTATGGTACCATAATCTGTTCCAGCACTTCTTTTATGTTGGAGCACAAACATAAAAACACAATTACTTACTCCTGGTTCCCAATAACCTTGTTGTTGACACCGTTAGGTTCCCCCAGCTCACAGAGGCCCCCTGAGTTCAACAAAGGATGCTGTTTAGGTGTTTAGGCTGTCTTCCTCCCTGCTCATTTCTGTGTGCTCGGTGCGTCTAGAATCCTACCCAGTGTCCCATGTACCGCATGACTCCTGGAAAGGCTAAATAGAGGGGTCATCCTGAGAAATCCAATGTAGGAATTAGAGATGGACCGATCCGATATTACGTATCGGTATCGGTCCGATACTGACCTAAATTACTGGATCGGATATCGGAGAAAAATAAAAAATGTAATCCGATCCATTAAATATCAGGAAAGCACCTCACAAAACTTGCAACACGCCGTAACTCGCCTCAGAACGTTAGCACGTCGGAGCAGCATGCATCACGTGATAGAGCGGCTGTGGCATGTGGGACCTGTCAGTGGTCTGGATAGCATGTGGAGCTTCGCTAGCAACCTGGCATTTCATCTCCGACAAAGTTATCCCCGAGAGAAGTAAAGCAAGTGTGTAAGTCCATCTCTGAATGTTTGTAAAGCATTCCTGCGTTAAGCGACTGCCTCTTCTTGCTGCTACTTCAATCATGAAACTGCTCAATGATCAGCTGATCGGCTTTTCTGTCACGAGTCCGTCTCTCTTGTTTGTTTTTGGCCCACTTTGCACCAGAAAGAGGAAACCAGTGGCTGAACAACAGCAGCACGTTGAAGCTTGATAAGCTGTTGTTAGAATGTATTTAATATTACTTTCTACACCAGGATCTTTTTCTACGCAGCTGACGGCTGGTAACTGTGCAGGGGCGGATCTAGCAAAGTTTAGCCAGGGGGGCCGATAGGGCATTAACAGGGAAAAGGGGGCACAAAGACGTACTTTTCTTTCTTATTCTCATTTAAAATGTCGAGCTTTTAATAAATAATTATCTGACACCCAAAGTTTTAATCTGATGTAAAATGAATTGAAGTCCATTACTGTATATAGTAACTATTAAGTCTAATATATATACCCTAGTAAGCTATAGTACATTTTCCTTTGGGAAGGTACCATCTGTGCAGTCTGCAATTTTGTTGAAGAAAGATGTTGAATCTATTTAATATTTCTTGAAAAATAATTGATTTCTGTGCATTTTTTTCACACTGCATCAAATTAAGGTTGATTACGTCGATTAGGCATCATGAGGTGGAGCGTGAGGGGTGGTTCCCTATTTTTTATTTATTTATTTTTGTTGTTGCTGGGAGTTGGAACCCTATTAGTTAGGTTGCTTAATATTTATGCTAAGTACTCTTTAAAATACCAGAATAGGGAGGATGGTGTAGGTTTAAGTTTATTAGATTGATCAGTATTGCTGAACTATGAAATATTTTTTTTTTGCATACAGGTATAGCAGAATAGCTTTAGTGTAGTTGTTGTTTTAAACTTGAGTATGAACTTATACAAAATGCAGCAAGATATTTAAAAAACAATTTTGTTGATTAAAAAACACTATATCGGATTCAGGCAGATATCCAAATTTATGATATCGGTATCGGACATAAAAAGTGGTATCGTGCCATCTCTAGTAGGAATTAGTAGCACCAGCTTTCAAGGCTTGATCAACCTCCATTGCTGCAGAACAGCTTTTAATTGTTAATCCGTTTTGTGTTCCCTGAAACAAAGTCCTTTTACATAATACTGAAATTATTTTTCAGTTTTTATGGGTAACCTTACCTTACCCAAACCTTACGTCAAAATCTTACATCTTTTTTTCTAAAACAGCTGAATTATGGTTTCCAAAACAAACATAAAATAATGAAAATTAGATTTTTGCTGTGGCACCAGGACAGTGTGTGAGTCAAAACCGACGACAGTGTATGTGATGAATGAGCATAGCACATGTAACTCATTATTCTTAGTGTCATGTTAGGTCTCAATTGACTCTCTTTACTCAGGTAGAGTGTGACTCCTTCAACTCAGGCACTTGTGTTTTTTGGATTCTGGAGCCACATTACGTTACGTTACTGTAACTATGAGACATTCAAACTCTCCATTAAAGCAAAGAATTATTTTCTAACCTAGTCCTACATTTAAAACCACAACAGCTTCTTCCTGTTATTGACTTTAGCCGGTGTGAAGCTGATAAAATTCTCATTGCTCTGTGTTCTGGTTTGGCTAATAATAGTGATAGGTGAGAAGCTGTTGCTTTTCTGCCTTGTGGTGACTTGCATCAGTCTGTGCTAAAAAAAAGAGAAAATAATATCATTGTGGTATTTGACCTTCCTTTTTCACAAAACACCCACCCAGTTCAATGTGGTCATTCTGTGTTTCTTTGAAGAGGTATTCAGATGAGATAACTGAAAAATTGTTGCAGTTATTAAATTTAACTGACACTTCTAAAATAAATAATCCCTCAGCTCTGTGTTGTATCTAAGATTAGACAGAGGCTTGTTTTTTTGTTGTTGTTTTTTTAGTGATCATGTTTAGAAGAGCAGAACATGTTCATATCAGGCAGGGTCGATCAACCATAGCACACTACAAAATAATTACATTATAGTATAATATAATATATTATAAAATGTTTTAGCATTATTTGATACACATAGATACTCAATAACCCAGCGCAGGACCATCTGTGATGAACTGGCAGAGTCTGAACAGTGCCAGTGGCATTTATGTACAACCTCAGTGTGTCAGTACACTTTGAGTAATACACAAATAACAAATTGTGGTAATCAGAAGTGGTAAAGCATACAGTATGCTGCAATAATATAACAGTACTATTGCAGCTGCTCTACTTACAGAAATGTATATGTACTTTACTCTGCAGAGAGTGATTCAGCTGCAGTGTACTCAGGAGTGAGAACAGAAGACATCAATTACGGACAAATAGCCTTCAGACCAAAGAGGAAAAAAGGTAAAGCTGCTCTGCATCTTTGAACTGGTACTTATACAACGCTATTCATCTATACAATTTAAGGCAATAAATTAAGATGATCAAAGATCTAAAGTCGCTTCAAAGTGAATTCAGTCTGAATTTGAACTCTAAAGACAGCAATGCTAACATCATGGTCTAAAAAACCTAAAGTAAGACTATCATGGACATAACATAAAAATACAAACAAAAAAATACTATTATGACCAAATGGCCTGATCAAGAGTCCAGTGCACTTTTAAAAAGAAGGACTGCATCGACCAGCCCAACAGCACCAAAAGACCTGAAAGACCACAGAAGACAATTAAGGTGCTCGTGTCAAATTTGGAGTTGCTGATTCTCAACACAGCTACTTCATACTGAGCTGCAAATCCCTCTAATGCACACTGGAGGTTACCAACATATGAGGCCAGAAGAACCACATCATAATAGAAAGGTCATACCAAGGCCACCAAAGCAGAAACACTCCACCTCTTAGCTCCACCCAGAAATTGTATCCATAAATGTTAGGAACAGAATCAGTGGTGAAGTGCAGCCATGACAGATTCCAGTTGGAATTCATGAGGAATTAAAGATCTCGTGAATTGGACCATCTGTCAGACACAACCAATACTTACCAGAGATTTGGGTGTGCCTGGTTTGTCCAGCATCCTCCCCACTACCTGGTCCAACTTAGCATCAGGTAGTGATCACTTGACAGCTCTGGTCCTCTTTTACCTGAGTGGAGAGACTATGGTCCAACAACAAAACACCCCTTGGGTTCAATCCTACCCTGGAAGCAGCCAAGGAGAGAGGTGCTCGTGGGGGAACTGGAGCTTAACCCATAGGGTCCAGCAACACATAGTCTGAACGAAACATGTGGACCTGCCCTCTGCTGGGTCTATCACTCACATCAGGGCCAGAGGTCCTGCCAGTCCAATCCCTGATTAATCTGGCTTTAAGAGCAGGGACATACTGTGGAAATGTGTTTATGCAGAGGTGTGGACTCGAGTCACATGACTTGGACTCGAGTCAGACTCGAGTCATTAATTTTATGACTTTAGACTTGACTTGAAAAAATGTTGTAAGACTTGTGACTTGACTTAGACTTTTACACCAATGACCTGGGACTTGAATTGGACTTGAACCGGTTTACTTGAAAAGACTTGATATTTCACCCCAAATATAAAATGTAACATGCATATAGAGATTGAAAATGTGATGTCATTCTGGGGTAGAACCACAAAGGATTCTGGGAACTCGTGGCAAGTGGTACTAGCGCATGCAGGCTTTTAATTGAAATCAGTTATACAGCGATAAAAAGAAACACAAAAAATGGCAAGAAGCTGTTGTATTATTAACTGCAATAGCCGGTCACATGACAGCCACGGGAAGCCGACGGGTAAAGAAATCGGTTGTTATCGGATTACGACGTTTAAGAGAAATTGTTCGAGCCATGTTTCCGAAGTAACAAAGAGGCGACGGATGGCCTGGATCGCAGCCATTCAAAGACCAAATATAACGTCCCAGAACACTCCAGCTCACAGGTTAGTCTGCTCCAAGCATTTACACGAAGGTCAGTGTTTTTAAATAGTGAATTGTCCTGACACAATATTGTGTTTCGCTTCTGTTATTACCATGGTACATTGACAAAAACATATACTTTTATTCACAGGGTAAAACAGTTGTTTTTTGTATCACTAATTGCCCAGTACGATTACAGCATACAGTATTATTGTCACTGCTACATTTCTGTAACGCGTACCAGAAATTATTTCCACTACTAATTAATTACCGTTGAGCTCAAAGGTCCTATTAATAAACGGTTAAGGAATGTGTATTTATGAAGACAATTTGTGAGACTGGTAAACTTATGATACGTACGATGGTCTTTCGTTCTACACGGTGCATTTCAAGGTCCTGCACCCATCCGTCGGTAAACTGTACCTGGGCTTGTTGCAGTGACCTGAAGTTACTAAACTTCATGAGTGTGTGCACTCACTCCAAGAACCGTATGATTATAAATATGCATATAAATATGCTACGATGAGATAGCTGACTTCATCTAACTAGCAAATGTTGTCCAGGCTACGTTGGTGATGCAGTTTTTTTTAATATGTATGATATTTTTGTCATGCGATTTTAAAGCCGGTCCTACATCCAAGAATAACATGCAGCTTATCTCAGAACTGTCGGTGAAAATTATTCTTGGAGCTAGGTTTAATTGAGCTGCATTTTAAAGAGGTGCAATTTCACAATTTGTGTATATTTTCTAAGTTCACTATTTTGTCATGTGTTGAGAAAAACACAGATTTAAAAATTACATGGTCTAATATTTACATTTAGCATAACTGCAACATTCTTTTTTCGTTTTTTTTAAAGACTCGAAAGGACTTGAAATTCAAAATTTCAGACTTGTGACTTGACTCGGACTTTTACACCAGTGACTTGAGACTCGACTCTGACTTGTCTGACATTACTTGAGACTTGACTTGTGACTTGAGGATAAAGACTTGAGACTTACTTGAGACTTGCAAAACAATGACTTGGTCCCACCTCTGTGTTTATGTTCCCAGTACCATCACTCTTCTTTGTATTTATGCCTGTTGGCTCATGTTTCTTCAGCAGTGATTTTGTTTCTTTGCACAAAAAATATACGTTTGTTTTATGTGTGTTTCTCACGTGGTTACGTGATCACGTGGTGGAATTCACCAAAATGTCAGATGCAAAGTTTGACTTGTTCTGGTTTGGTTGCGGCTAACATGTCTGCTTTCAGTCACAGTAATTTGAACATTTGATCTCATTAACAGAGAATTGTTAGTTTTTCTTTTGACATTTTACAATTATGTTTAATCAAATTTTGTAGTCATAAAGAAAAATGGAGGGTTACTCATTAAAAGTTACTTATAAAAACTCCTCACTGTATAATTTCCCCCTTCATTGCAAATTACCACCCATATTGTACACTTAAATTCTGAAATTATCTTTGATAAAGTTAATGCTTTTGACATCTTGACAGGTTGACCACATACATTCATCTTGCTGATTATGATCATTAAATGTTATTTGATTGGGAAGATTGAGTTTAACATTTTTCTGATACAGACCATGAGACTGATGAGCTGCACTGAGTTTAAAGCTGTTTGCTTATTTGCAAAACACTACACCGTTCTACCATACTCATTTAAATGAAACCAACACTGATAAAAGGCTAAAAAGCAAACATTTTTAAAATCACGAGTTCATTTAATATACAGGAAAAAAGCCATCCAAGCCTAACTGGCCCTGTGAAAAAATGCTGAATATATATTTTTAATTTCAGCCACACTGCAGGGTTTACCAGTATGTATGGTCTCTAACATTATGCCAAAGCATCCTAAATATAATTAAAATAAATTATGACTATGCCACCCCATAATATCTTTCTTTATTGTGTCTATTGAGAGATGGAATTGCTGCTGCGAGTTTGGATCATTGTCATGCTCCACAATCCAAGTGTGCTCGAGCTTCAGGACATCAGCTGATGGTTTTCTCCTGCAAAATGTTCTGATAGAGGATAATTCATTGTTCCACCAATTAAGCAGCAAAGCAGTCCCAGACCGCCACACTAGCATCACCAAGTCTGACTGCTGGTATGATGTTCTGCATTCACGGTGTGTTTAGTTGACATTGGACCATTATCAAAGATGATTTAATCTGTGAAATTAAATCTGGCAGCACTGGTTTCAGTCAGTTCCTCCTGTATTAGGTCAGTTTAAATACCCAGGAAATGGGACTTTGCTTGAAGCTAACTACTAGCGTTAGAAGGTTAGCAGTAGGTTTAACGTTCATCATGTTCACCATCTTCTCAGTATGCTAACATTTGGTGATTTGGATGATGATGAGGAAATGATGACGAGTTTCAAAGGTTTTTTCACTATAATCCTGGAGCTGTCACTATGAGTCGTATGACGACATGAACGGAAAAGTCTAGAGATCCTTAACTGAGTGCACCGAGCCTCTGAAACTGTCCTTTAATAGAATGAATCAACTTTTTTTTGTGAACATTTTTAAAGTTCTGCATGTAAAACCACAGTAGCTACTTCCTGTTTACCCCAGTTAGTCTGAAGCTGGTGAGAATTGTCTCTGCTGTGCGCTCTGGTTTAGCCAATAGCAGTGTTCATGCAGTGAGAACCTGCTTGCTTTGTGCTTTGTGGTGAAGTGCATCAGTCTGCATTGAAAGAAGATGGCAGCTTTGTGGTCGCCCACCTTCCTTTTCACAAAAATACCCCCCAGCTCTTTCTGGTCATTTGTTGTTTTACAGTAGAGATGCTTTGAGAAGAGAACTCTAAACATCTGCTGCGGTTTATGCAACCTGTCACTTCATCTAACCGAATGCTTAGATTAAGCTAATGCAATGATAAGAATAGATAAGTATTCACTTTAATTGGCTGGTCAAAAAGAAAATCCTTGACTCTGGGTAGCGCATAAAATGGCGGCGAAGACTTGTTTTTTCATTTTAGTGCTGCTGTTTGTGATCTGCTCAGCCTGTTAATCTTAGGGTGGAGTGAGAAAGAAGAAGCTGGCTGTGTCTGAGCTGGTTCCCTTTGAAGTCTGAACTGGGACTGTGTGTGATGCAGAGAGGTGGAGACTGGAGGGCTTGATTGAACTACAAAGCTTGTAGGCTAATCATGTTTCCTGTTGTTTTGTTTGTTTGTTTTTAATAACTGTGTGTGTTTGTGTTCAGACTGTAAACCAGAGCCAGACGTCGTCTACTCTTCACTGAAGTAGTCCACCAGTCCAACCATTGATGTCCAGCTGCTGGTCTCTAACTGGTCCCCCAGCACCTCCACAGACACATCCATATGTTGAAAAGATTTCTTTTTGATGTTTTGTGTCTTTTATTTCACTTATTACATCCTCCTCCACTTACAAATTCAGGGTTGCAGTGGGACTGGAGCCTATCCCAGCTGCCGTAGGACAAGTTTCAGGGTACACCTTCAGCAGGTCCCCAGTCTTGCTAACACAGAGAGAATTCACACCTACGGCAATTTAGACTCATCAACTAACTTAACCCCACTAACTGCATGTTGTTGGGCTGTGGGAGGAAGCCAAAGTACCTGCAGAGACCCACACAAACGCAAGGAGAACATGCAAACTTCAACATCAGCGATATTAATATAAATATTTTAATATATCTTATGTTGTCAGTAACTTTACTGTTATTTCCATTCTTGTTTGTTGGATCCAGCTCGTGTTCTCATGGCAGCGATCTGATTTCTTATTAAGCTTTTGTTGTCTTGTGTGTTTCTCACGTGGTTCTGTGGGTTTCATTGAGTTGTCAAGTGACAAATGTGAACAGTTCCGATTTGGTTGTGGCTAACCGAAACACTCAGTGCTGCAGTCAGTATAGTCAGTTTGAAAAGGAGTTAACTTGAACATCGGTGTATAACCATAGACAGTTTTTCATTGTATTACATTACAACAGTTTTTCATTAAATAATATAGACGAGAACAAACACAGTGCTGCTAGTAGAAAATCATTAATTGACTGTTTATTGTTATCGTTATCAATTATTACTATTATTATTATTATTATTATTACTATTATTATTATTATTATTAGTAGTAGTAGTAGTAGTAGTAATATTGCTACTCCCCCTGGGAAACATTCATAGTGTCTGTCTCTATACTTTGAAATGAAAACAAAAGACTTTAGTTTTTGTCTGATAAACTAATAATAAACTAATAATTCCTGAACGTGTGACTCAGGGTAATTACTGGAGCACATTTCCTGACCCAGCACAGAGCCCCTCCTCTTAAACCTGTCACTGAAGCTTGAAGTGGCCGTGCTGATTGTCTATTGTCATCTACTGTTAAAACCGGGTCACACAGCGGGGCAGCTTTTAAATTTATATTTATACATTTTAAATGACATTAATGCCACTAACTGGAGAGGTTTCTTTTCTCTTCTCACCTGAAAGCATCTCAGGATGACTTCACAGTAAATACATTTGGACAAAAGCCAAAGTAACAGTCCGTAAAATCCTAAAAACAAGTGACCTCATTTCATTTGTTAGCACTCAGTTTAAAGCAGCACACAGTCAGAGACCTGAAACAGCAACAGGAAATAAAATGAGAGCAGCACCACAAACACATAAAAAGACAGACGGCACGAGGTTTAACCAGTGACTTTGCCTCAATACCAAACAGAAAATCCCTCTTTTATTTAGTACAGATTAATTACTGAATTACAGGAAAGAAAAATAGAATTAAATAGATTCCATGACCCCAAATTATTGATTCATAATCATAACAATAATTATAATAACAATAGTAGTAGTATTAATAAACTTCTCAGATCAGTGTTACATTTAACCTGGTCACAAAGCCCAAACGCTCTGATGCTCACAGTGTTTATTTAATCCCATCATGAAAACATACTTAAGTGAAAATAGTTTTTATCCACAGTTAATTAAAATAAAACTGTCACCTTATCAGGAAGTGCAAATCCTCACTGTTTTAAGTGTGCTGTGGAAGTGTCATTGGTTATTTGATAGTCAAACATCTCCCTCTAGTGGCCATAAATAAACAATTCACATTTACACCGCTAATTCATCAGGACAGCTAAATACTCAACACTGTTCTTTCCAAGCTCCTTAGACTGTACAGAAAAAATACTTCTTCTACTGCGTGTCTTTCATATTAAAAGCTCTTTGTGAATGAATGGCTGTAAGGTTTTAATGTGAAAATATCAGAGAAAGTTTGAACAACCTTACCAATATAAACACTGCAAATAAACATAAGCTACAAGAAACTATAGACTCAGTGTCTGATTTGTGCTTTTGTATTAATGTAGTTTAAAAAACGGTCAAAGTGAATATTTTATATCAGCTTTTAATGGGTATAATAACGTTATGGTCCATAGGCAGGACTTTGTTTTTCATTTCATATAGTGAAATGTGGGCTCAACATGTTTAAAATGATAAAGATCCACAGAAGCAAATCCTAGACTCCAGTTTTTCATCATTCAGTGCTGCAGTTTGTTTTTCACCTGGTGTTGCCAGCAGCAGAGTTCAGTTGGCAAATTATGGGAACTGAATAATTCGATTTCCAGTTACATTAGACATGTACAAACATGATCATCAGCTGCAAACATCCTTAAATTTTACCTCTAGGGAAGATGGAGTTAGCATGAATCTGAGAAACAATGAAGCTCAACAAAAGTAAAAAAGTTTTTTTTTTTTATATTAGTTTTATTTAGTGTGTTTTGTTTTTGTCACTTTGTCAGGCTTAAGCTGGCGTTGTATTCACATTATCAAACTCTTGAGATCACAAACTCATGAGAAACGTTACTAAAATTAAATACTTTTTTCAAATTGTACAAATAAGGTGGACAACAAACTACAAATTGATTTTCAGTCAAATCTTCTCTGATGTCCGACTTTTACAACCAGACTTGATGTGACGCTGGCTGTCTCTTTATACCTGATATTAGCGTTCGTTAGATACATTAAAAATAAAAAAAACAGCAGCTGTTGATTAAATTTATACCTGTGCATGATGCAAATATGTCTTTATACTTTTAACATGTTGCATTTTAATATTTCTGGATGTCTTTGCCTCCAGTAACACTGTGAGAAATCTTGGAGTCATGTTTGACCAGGATACGTCTTTCAATAAACATTTTAAACCAATACGTAGAGCTGCTTTCTGTCATTTCATTGGTATCTCTAAAATTACAAAAATCTATTTTCAAACTGACTCTTAGCTCAGATTAAAATTAGACTTACAACTTTCCTTTTTGATAATGCATCTAAGTTAATGCTGGATCAGGTCACCATGACTCCTCCCTTAGTAACACTAGAACAGGCCTTGGCCTCTCGGGGATTCCCGTGATGGTTTTAGTTTATTTTTCAGTCATTTTTTCACTTCCCATCTGTTGACACACTCCTACAGGAAGTGTAACACACACAGATTCGAGGTCTGAACATCTGTCTCAGCTGTGGGAAAAATATGACAACCAATAAAATTGTAAATGGGAGGGAACAGCAGTTGTCCTCAACTCACCAGTCTGTTAGTAGGTCAGCAATCACCCCGGCCTCAGCAAGCCAATCCTCCCTTTAGGCTGTGGTATACAGTAGGCCCAGCCTGCACAGACACACAAAATATCAGCTCATCAGCATTTTAATAATGCAGAGAGCAGCAAACTGTTCACCATATACATTTATAATCTAAGCCATCTTGAGTCTGGCCATATACCTGCACACAGAGACACAATGTCACAGCAGTGTTTACAGTGCAGAGACTGTTATCTACCAACATCCCTCACCACACAGCCTTGTGCTGTTGGAGGCTTCTTGCTGTTAAAGGGGGATTTTATTGTCATTACTAAATGTTTGCTCACAGTGTGAGAGGTGGGACTTTCTCTCTAACGGTTCAGTATAAAACACCTTGAAGGAATGTTGATTTGCTGATATTTGATTGATATTTGATAAACATTAACTGAAATGAACACAACTAACTTCCCTCAGGGACTTCTGAGAAACTGACTCATCCATAAACCTGGATTTCAGTCATGTAAAGACTTGTTTTTGTTTATTTTGGAATTTATTTTCCAGCTGCAGCTCTCACAGCTGTTCCATCAGAGTTGAAGGACAAAGGAAAACTAACACATTGTAAGGTACTTTAGATGAACTTATCATCTTATAGTGAGATATTAGTCAGACTAATGTACAATGAATAATCTGCACTGAGACAATTTAAGATTGTTTAAGATTTGAGTCCAAGACTGAAATCAAATAGTCAGAATATTCCCTGCTCCGTCTTTTCCTCACTCAGTGGACATCCATGGAAAACACGATGAGTTGAAGGAAAAGTTCCCACAGTGTTCCTTCATACAGGTCATGTAAACATGTATGAATATCTATAACATTATTACCAGGGTTAAAAATACACAGTGATATTTCTCATCCACTTGATCCTTTAAAATATGTTAGTCTTTTTATCTTTTACAAAGCCAAAGTTGCAAAGTGCGTCACCGAGGAAAGAACTTAATGTGAAGTAACATGTGTACAGGTTTCCGTCTGGACAGCGAGTGAAGAGGGGCTTTCACCCACCACAGACGTGCTCGTGTGTCACTGGAAGATGATGATCTATGAGCCTGTCAAAGGCTGATCGTTTAACAAGTGGTCCGGATTAAGGTAAGAAAGCAACACTGAATTGAACAGTTGAAAAGAAAAAACACGATAAAAAATATTTAAGAACACTGGATGAAAACACAGACAATGGCTGCTGTGGGAAATTTAGTTTAACACTCAGTTTCACTTCAGTCTTTGTGCTTCACTTTCAGATTGAAGGCTTACTTGTGGTTCCTAAAGTATTTAAAAGTTTAGTGGGACAGTGTCACCAAATGGTGGCTCTGATTGTTGCCGTTTTCTCTGCAATATTGTAATGTCCTTACTTTGCTTTATAAAGAACTTTGAGCCAACTGTTTGATTTGATGCTACATAAATAAAACTGAATTGAACTCAACTGAGTGACGGCCCAAAGACTGCACAAAAACAGTGGCACGGTCTGATGTACCACCAACCACGCATGCGTCCATGCAGGCGGCATCCTTCAAGTTGATTTCAAAGAAGTATAACGTCTAATTTATGGTCCACAGATGTGTAAAATGTAAATAATCTGATTCTTGTAAAGTGTGTTTCTGCTCTCTTGCAGCACTCAAAGCACTTTATGTAATATGCATCATTCACCCATTTATACAAGCAGTTTTGTCTATGCCTAAGTGCTTTCTGTCTAATATTCATAAATTCATACTCCAGTGCATGCATCAGAGAGCAACTTGGTGTTAATATCTTGCCCAAAGATGTTTGACATGCAGACTGGGGTTCAGCCATCAACCTTCCAAATAGTAAGTGACCTGCTCTACCTCCTGAGCTA